CATTGCTTGATATCGAGAACTTGCGTAGCGTATCGGTGGGTGAATTATATTCTAGCCCTGTCGTCGTTATCGCTGTTGGAGGTGGGTAGATAAATGTACGTGCGTGGGTTAGGTAGANACGGGGGAGCTTGTACGCTCTCTTCCTGTGTAGAAATCCTAAGACTATTTGTATTTACATTACCCCTGAGAAAAACATGGAGCGGGGTAAATAATGTGATAAGTAGCCTAATCCATGGTGGTGAGGAAACTCTCTTGTGTAGCATTTCTTTCCCCTGAAAACGAGATATACACATACACATACACAAGGGACGCGGATATCCCCACTTTCCTTTTCCCAGCGTCCAAGTACAAATCCACCACCACTCCCTTCCCCCCCCCCTACACCACCCCCATCGCCGCCTTAATCCTACTCCTCAAATCCCTCCACTCCCTCGCATCCATCCGCCTCTTCCCCCCTTTCCCCTCCCTCTTCCGCGGCACCTTCACAACCCTCTCCACATACTCGCAACCACGTCGAAACCGAAACCTCTTCACAATCTCGATTTCGTCTGTATACTGCAAGCCAGGATTGAATCTGAGCAAGTGATCCGCGACGCTGCGCGCGTAGAGCAGGGAGTCCGCGAGGTGGTTGCCATGCAGGATGTGGCATGTCGGCGGCTCGACGTGCGTATTGTTATTGTTGTCATCATGGAGGTACGTCGTCAAGATAGTTTTCGTCGCCGTCCCCGTTTCCAACGCAGCGCGCGTATCGCGCTGTCTGCCCATACTCCCAATCATGAAGGTGCGATCGTCAAACGACAGTCCAAACGTGTTATTGCTAAACACGTAATCGGGCGAGACTTCGAAGTGTACCTGGCGGCACACAAGCGGCAGGTTGAGCGCGAGTAGCTGTGTGATGGGCTGCGGGTCCCAGTACGACTGGTGGTTGGGGGCCCGGCCAACCCATTTGTGCGGGTGGAGAATGCTGGTTTCGTTGTTGAGATAGATTTCGTGGCCTGTAAGTGATAATTCGTAAATCCGGTTTCGAAGTTCCCCTGGGAGACGCAGGAAATACGATTCGCGCTGGTTCCACTGTGTGATGGCTTCGCGGCTCTCGGCTGTATTACCTGCATTTTTCCGCTGTGCTCTCGCTGGCTTTTTACTACATTTGTGTCTGTGTTGTTTGGACACGCGGGCTGTTGGGCTGCGGCCACTTGACTGCGGTGGTCGTGCTGTTTTGCGGTGCCTCTTCTTCTTCTTTTCTCGCTGTCGAAAGAATGAATTTGGAATATTGCGAGTAGGGAGGTGTGTATGGAGAGCTTTGCTTGACTTACTTCTTGTGTGTTGTTGCTGTTGTTGGGTTCTGGGGATGAAGGCCGCTTTCGCTTGTTGCTGGATACCATCTTTTTTTTTCTGTTCCAGAATACAAAATGTCGAGTGAGATCACCGTGAGTCGTAGTACTTTACTCAAGCTGCAGCAGAGCTACTCGATATACAATGCCCCATGGATTTTGCCGAGGTACCCAAAGCCACTCAGTGTGTCTTTGATCACGGTGCTCAGGACGAAGGCGAATCACAGCCACAGCTCCTTTTTTGTTTCCCTTCGGTACGCCCATGTACTGGAATCAGGTAATCAGCCAGAATGACTCACAAACGCGAGGATTTCGGTTGAGAACTATGAACTCGTAGGGTCCTCCCAAGATGCAGCAGCGGGATCCAATCGTCTTGTCCGGGTACGTACTTGGCGGCCCATGTGATGAAGCAACGTCAAGAAAGATTCAAGTCAGATTCTAAAGCTGTAATCTTCACAAAGATACGAGTAGTAGTAATAAATTATGAATATCACGTGGGAATTAGTTGTTGTTACGTACTGGCGACAGCTGTTTGTTCTCGTGTATACTAAGCCCGATGCAGTCACGTGCACACTACTACACCCCATCCTGAGTTGCTCTCTAAACTGAGAATATTGTCGTAATCTAAACAATACAAAACCAACCGATATATCGTAATCAATCATTATAGTCTCGATAGCTTCGTATGAATCCAATGATGCTTGGTAAAAAGCCAAGAAATCCTCATGTCATCATTACCAATGCTTGTTCCACAGACATGGTCAATTAGTCAATTAGTTTGATGAGTGATTTCGACGTGCTATCGCAGCGGCTTTCACAACGCAGAGGACAGGTCAACCAGTCAATGAATTGAGGTGCAATTCTTTCTAATTCATGTGCGGTAGTCTCGCTGTATATGTACAAGTCTATAATCTCATCCAGTGAATGAGCAGAGGGTATTTTTATATGCACCTTTCTTTGACAAAGACGCCATTGGGATTCGTAGCTATGGACCACAAAGGAGGGAGTGGGGCATTGTTTGGTCGAGACCCATTCTAATCCCTCTTTGGTGCGTCCACAGGCTTCTCGGCCTTGCCAGTAGGCTCATCCATCTTCCTTGCACGGTCGTCCTGTTCGGCTCGCTCAGCACTGCCATCCGAAGTGCCGACGGTGCTAGCCTCGGCTTCGCTCGCCTCAACAGCCTTGGCCTCCTTTGCCTCTTGTGCCTCTCTGGCAGGCTTCTCGGCCTCGTCAATGTTCTCGTGGTCATTTGGGGAGGCAGTGGCCTTGTTCTCAACAGTCTCGGTCTGTTCGTTCTCCTCGTTGATGAGTTCTTGCTGCTCCTTGAGGACTTCGAGACGCTGCTTGTTGGTGGCGGCGCCTTCAGCACTGCTGACCTCAAGATCCATTTCGTGGTACAGCTCCTCGGGAATACTGGACAAGACAGCTTCCAAGGCATCAATCTGAGACGTCATTTCCGACTCCTTGCCCTGGGCGTATACAAAAGCATTGGAGAGAACCAAGAGCGTAGAAGGAACGCCGTGCTTGAGACGGAGGTCAAGCCAGCTCGTCAAGTCATCCCGTAACCGGCCGGGTGAAACGCCATATGTTCGGATGCCGCGGCTTGCACAGGCAGTCTGGAGCTCAGGGACGGAAAGCGAGTCGACGCCCTCGTAGGCAATGGCCCGGTCGTCACGCTTGATCTGGCGCATGCGCACTCTGATCTGGTAGCGCAAGAAGTTGTCGGTACCAAACGAGGTAATGTTCATGTAGCGGCAGATGGACACGAGTTGCGGGCGGGACAGGTTGTCGAGGGTCAAGTCATCCTTGAAGATCTTGCAGACCTTGATGATCTCCTCTGGTGTAGGCTTCTCGCCCGTCGTGCGCACCTTGCGGAAGAACTCACTGAACTCGGCTGTCTGGGCATTCTCGGGCGAGACGGGCAGCCCGGTTTCCTTGAGTGTCTGGCGCAGGAAGTCGCTAACGTCCTTGCGGGTCGCGCGCAGTGTCTGGGCCTTTGTGTCCTTGGCCTTCTGGCCCTCGTATGTGCTGGGAAGCATGTTGGGGAACAGCTTGAGCGCTACGGGAAGAAGCAATTCGGCAAACGGCACGATGACGAAAGGCAGGAAGGGAACCAGGCGCGCGAGGTCCTGGACTGTGCGTTGCAGCTGTCTCGGGTTAGTGCTAGGCATTGGGATTGGGGGTGCAAAAGGGAACACACCTGCCGGCGCTCTCGTCGCGTGAGCTCGTAGCCAGCGGCCATCTTCAAGGCGAGCTTGGAGCTGATCTTGATCTCGAAGCCAAGCAGCTTGGTTCCGTCCCAGTAGTGCACCAGCTCCTTCTTGACCTTTTGCCAGACGGTCAGCTTCTTCTTCTCCTCGTCTCTCTTGGAGATGATCCTCTTCTCCTCCTTGGTCTCGGCTGCTGCCTTGTCTGCCGCCAGCTCACGGACGGTTTGCACGTCCTGGGCTTGTGTCTTGGGGTGCGCGGTGGGGCCCGACTTGGGGATAATGGTGTCCTTTTCGAGCTGCGGCTTTGCTTGTTGCGGGGCCTTGTCCTGGTCGTGGCGGGAGAGTGGCTGGCTTGCTTTTTTAGGATCGAAGCCAGGGGGCGGGTAGTTCTGTGCAGCGTTGGATGACGTCGACTCGGTCTGGAGGGCGCGGAGGGGAATCAGAATGCGGATTGCAGGCGAGCTCCTCAGCATGGGGCGATGGGAGCGAGTGGTGGTCCTGATGCCCGCCCTGAAGACGGCGGGCGCTGCACGGGAGGCGGCTCTGCTGGCGTACATTGCGCCAGCGGGGGGAGCGAAAAAAGGAAGAGAGCGACTCGGATATGGTACAGCGATTAAAAGTAGGCGTGGGCTGGAAGCAGCAAAGGAGGGCGGGAAGTGGAAAAGGAGATTGGGGGAGAAACGGGTGTGGAAGGGGGGAAGCAAGTAAGTAGGTGCGTGTGGACTGGACTGGACTGGACTGGATTATGCAGTTGAGAAAATGGGCCAGCGCTGACGTTGCGTATCGGACTTTAGGCGGCCTAGCACTAGTAGCTTCAGGGACCGCCGGGCGATCCAAAGCTTGGTCGCCACCAACGGCAGCGGCAGCGGCAGCGGCAGAAGCTGGACGCGACGGCGACGGCGACGGCGACTGGAGACAAAGGAACAAACCGGGTGCAGTTCACACGCACGAGCGGGCGGAGGGGGTGAAGATGGGCGGAGGCGGCCTGGACTGCCCGCTGTCATCCACCAGAACAGACACCCACGCCCACGCACAGCACACGCGACCGAGGCTTCGCCGCCTCCCCCAATGTCCGCAACATGGACGGCGTGGCTGGCCAAAAATGCCATTCAGCGCCCTGCCCTGCCGTCCCCTCTCCTCGACGCTTATTACCCGAAGGTCGCTGCTTTCCTGTTATGTAACTCCGCTGGCCTCGTCCTCGCCCATCTTTTTATTTTTCCTTTCCTTTCCCTTCCCTCCCCCCCTCGCCCAGACTCCGCTTCTCGCCCGACTTACCATGTATCTTTTTTAATCATTGCGAGTGCACCCCGCCGCCGCTGCGCCTCCCTCCTCGTGCCGACGACACCGGTCGGCGTAGACTGACGTGCCCTCTCTGCTCGGCCATTTCGTCTCCCTCTCCCACACACACATAGACATAGCATGATGCACGCACCGCGGCTAGCCAAGGCGGCCAGAATGATCCTGGTGGGCGCGCCGGGCGTGGGCAAGGGCACGCAGACGGAGCGCTTGATGGGCAAGTTCTCTGAACTGTCGGCAATCAGCTCGGGCGATTTGTTGAGGAAAAATGTGCGCGAGCGCACTCCGCTGGGTATGGCATGCCTTTGTTGCTGGCGGGCGGGCGCAGATGCTAATAGGCCGCAGGCATCAAGGCCGAAGCAACCATGAAATCCGGAAAGCTCGTGCCCGACACCATGATCTTGCGCCTCATTGTCAACGAGCTCACGACGCGGGGCTGGATACGCGACAACGCCCTGCGCCCGTATGCGCTCAACTTCAGCTCCATGGACATGGCCGAACACACGGTCGACTCGGTCATGATCCCCTCCGAGGTGCGCTCCCCGCGCTACACCTTCTCCAACCACCCCTCGGCCTCGTTTATCCTCGACGGCTTCCCGCGCACCTCTGTGCAGGCGATTCAACTCGACACCATTGTGCCCATCAACATGGTGGTGCACCTCGACACGCCCAGCGACATCATCATCAACCGCATCTGCAACCGCTGGGTGCACGAGCCGTCGGGGCGCGTCTACAACACGACGTTCAATGCGCCAAAGGTGCCGGGCAAGGACGATGTCACGGGGGAGCCGCTCACGCGCCGGGCAGACGACGACCCCGACGTGTGGAAAGCCCGCCTTCGGGCTTTCAAGGAGACCAGCGAGCCCCTCCTCGAGCACTACGACAAGCTCGGCGTGCTGTGGACGGTCAAGGGCAACAGCAGCGACGACATCTCCCCGCAGCTGTTTCGCGAGTTTGGCAAGCGCTTCGCCGCTGAGCTGTAGCGGCTTTGCGCACGCATGCTTTGGCCTTGGGTTATGAGTGTTTTGATTCTGCCGCGTACAGCACCATGTATGCCGCTGTACCATGTTTCTTGACGTCCGGGCCCGGCGTGGCCTGCTGAACGAAGCATGTATCTTTCCATGTATCCTGCCATGTATCCTGCCATGTAGACGGCAGATGGACGGGCGGGCTGGCGCGAGTCGCGCATTCCACATTCACTGTAGATATTCACCGACGTTATGTCGCAGGTAGCAGGGACCATTGACATTCGTACTCCAAACACTCTCACTGAGCCATGGCTATCCTGACTGCTGGAGCTGGCCTGCAGCGGCGCGCCGATGATGATGATGATGAGCCCATGGCCGAGGGGGACGACAGTGCGGGCGGACGCCTGGGCCACGCCCGCCGTCCCGCCTCTCCAACCGACGTCACCGACACACCCCCGAGCTCACCAGCACCAGAGCCAGAAGCACCCCAGGCCGCCAGCCCGCGCGCCCCCTTTGCCCCGTTGCCAGACGAGCCAGACTACGACCGCCTCAGCGACCTCGACGAGCTCAACCAAAGCTACCTGGTGTTCGCCCGCGACCCCCCGGCAGTACGCAGACGCGCAATGGCGGGCGACTTCAGCGAAGGGCGCCTAGAGACGTTCGTCGGCAGCCCACAGAAAGAGTTGGCAGGCACGCAAAACCAATACGTTTCGTATCTTGTAACCACAAAGGTCGGTAGCCCCGTCTGCAGCTGCAGCCTGCTCGTCTTCATGTTGCGCATCTCTGACACGTAGGACCCCGCCCGCAGTCAGACTTCCAGTCCTTCCAGAAGCCCGAATTCTCAGTCCGCCGCCGCTTCACCGACTTTGTCTTCCTCTGGAAACAGCTGTCCAAGGAGTATCCACAATGCGCCGTCCCGCCCCTACCCGACAAGCACAAGATGGAGTATGTGCGTGGAGACCGCTTCGGTCCGGATTTTACGCAGAGGCGAGCCCACTCACTGCACCGCTTCCTCAAGCGCATCGCCTTGCACCCGGTACTGCGGCGAGCGGCCCTGGTCATCAACTTCCTCGAGAGCCCGGATTGGAACCAGCACATGAAGGGCCGCTCGTCGAGAGCCGCTAGCAGCGCCGACCAAAGCTCGGGCGGCTTCGTGGATGCCATTGCAGACACGTTTGTCAACACCTTCACCAAGATCCACAAGCCAGACCAGCGCTTCATCGAAGTCAGCGAGCGGGCCAACAAGCTCAGCGAGGACCTGAACAATGTCGAAAAGGTCACGGTCAAGGTAGCCCGGCGGCAGGGCGACCTCGAGACGGACTATGCCGATCTGGCGACACAGTGTCAGAAGCTGACCACCATGGAGCCTGCTGTCGAAGGCAACCTGACGTCGTTTGCCGCGTCTGTTAATACTACGTCACAAGGCTTCAAGTCGATCCGCGACCACACAGACCAGAACTACCTGACGAGTCTGCGCGACATGGATGCGTACATTCAGGCCGTCAAGACGCTGCTCCGGACGCGGGAAGCGAAGCAGCTCGACTTTGAGCAGCTGAGCGAATACCTGGCCAAATCCGCCGCGGACCGTGACTCGCTCGCTAGTGCGACAGGGGCGGGCATGGGCGCATCTGGCTTCCTGCGATCCAAGGTCGAGGATTTCCGCGGCATCGACCACGACCAAGCACGCAGGCAGCGGGTTCGCAAGCTCGAGGTAGAGATTGAGCGCCTGACGGGCGAGGTGGAACTTTCCAAGAAGGCCAGCGAAGCATTCGACGAGCACACGGTCAAGGAGGTGGCCGACTTTGAGCGTATCAAGGCGATTGAGTTCAAGGACACGCTGGGCGATCTGGCCGACGCACATGTCGACTTTTTCCAGGGCACGATTGAAACATGGGAGAAGTTCTTGGAGGATATGCGGAAGGAGGAGGACCAAAGAAAGGCGGCGGCAGCGTCGTAGCATGACGATGGGCACGCCTCTGCTCGGGAGGCACTGCAGGCGGCACTGCAGGCGACACTGCAGGCGGCCCTTGTGCAGCATGGTGCGCCTAGTCCGCGTCATGGGATTGGGGGCTTGGGCATGAGCTTGGGCATGTGGTTTGGCTTGTGAGCGTCGGGCGGGTGAGGGGCATGTTCTGATGAGGCTTCATCCACGAGCCCTTGGTCAGAATCACCCATTGTTGATGTAATGATATCACCACTATTATTTGCAGATCAGTCATTCATGGAAACCACTTTGGCGTGGCATGCATTGCTATTACCCCGACATGGTGTGGTGTCTGTGTTGACAATGGTGCATGTGGGAAGGCGAGGCGCGACTTTGGTTCGCAAGCTGCTCTTTCCATAGTTGAGTTGTTGTTGTTGTTGCTCCGCACGCACGTTTAAGAGAGAGAGAACCCTCGTAGGGCGTGTTTGGTGCAAGATTCCAACGCCAGCTTCAGTCATCAAGAGAGGGTCAATTGGTATCATGGCGAACACGCCTGCAGAGATGGAGCCCGACAAGTCGACAAAGGAAGATGGGCACGCAGCCAGAGAGGATGAAGATGGGATGGCTCGCGCCATGACTCTGTTGCCAAGCATGGGCAGGTATGTTTGAGAGGAGAGGCAACACGCTCGACAACTAACCTTGAGAGCAGGAAAACGCGGGCGGGATCAGCAACGAAGCCGCCACCCAAGCCAGCCTCGTACAGACTCCCTGCCGAGCTTCGTGAGATGGTGTACGAAGCCGTCTTGACGGAGTCGGTTGTGGAAGTCGACCGCACTGGAAGAGATTTCGTCGAGAATGAAGAGTGGCGGGAATTCGCCAGGAACAAGCGCAACTGCAGGCTGGTGTTTGGGCGGCGCGAAGACCATGTCATGGCGGCCCTGGTCATGTACCGCGTGGCGGATCCCGCGATGCTGGGGCTGTGGCTGGCGCAACGGCCGCAGTTCAAGACAGTCGTCAGGAGGCTCGAGATTCACAGCAACCACCACTGGAACTGCGACCACGGGCGGTGCGGGTACAGCGGGGTGGCCAATTCAGTGTCGCGACACGCGCCGGCCTGGTTCCGGTGGCCGGACATGGCGCTGAAGGCGAGGCTCCCGCGGCTCCAGGAGGTGCGGCTCGAGGTGCGGTTCGAGATGGGCTACTTTGTGGGGTTGTGCACGCTCACGATTCAGCGCGTCGTGTGCGCCGAGACGCGGCGGGCGCTGGATGAGTGGGAGGAGGCTGTTGCGGCGTGGAACCCCGGGCTGCGGGTGGCGGCCCAATCGCTGGCGCTGCAACGGGCCGTTTCGAGGTTCCAATGACACGGCGGGGCGTGGGCACGGCGAGGGCGTGGGCATGTAGCGTATGAGGGGGCGGACAGGCGGCGGCGGCGGTGGTGGCAGAGGCAGAGGCGGTGGTGGGCAGCGCGGTCTGGATTGCGGGCGCAGACGCCAGCAGGCGGACCTTTCACGTGCAAAGGCGGGCGGCGCTAGGCAATGACGCAGACGGGCAATGGCAATGGCTCTTGCACTGGTGGCTCTCTCCCCTGGCGACGCCAATGCCAATGCCAATGCCAATGCCAATGCCAGCGGCCAGCGACCAGCGACCAGCGGCCAGCGACCGTCTACCGAGCCGGCGCACCCGTCCCACTCCCTTTGCCAGTTTGACCGCCGCCGCCGTGCCAAAACCGCCCACCCATCCCACACCGAGACAGGCGGCGCCTGCACCTGCACTGCACACTCCCGCCCCAGTGCATGGTTCTTTTGCTTGTCGAGTATTCTATAAATTAATTCCCGCCCCGCTATCCTCATGTCGCTGCCTCATCCCGTCACCACGCCCAACACCATGCCGCCGAGCAAAGGTACGCGCCCTATTTTAGCCACCGCCCAAGCCTGCATGCTAACCGCGCCGCCGTCGCGCAGAGACTGCCAGGCATGAGTGTGTCTCCGAGGACGCCCTGCAGCACCTCAGGACCTACAAGTATTCCAGCGTCGACAAGTCCTTCGTCTCGCGCTACATCCTGAAGCATTACGTACGCGCGCGCCGCCGCCCCCTCCCCCCCCAAACACTCCACCGCCTTCTAACGCTTCTTCTCTGTGCCCCAGTGGAACGCCTTTGTCGAGCTGCTGCCGCTCTGGCTCGCGCCCAACCTCGTCACCCTACTGGGCTTCTGCTTCATCCTGGGAAATGTCGCGCTGCTCGAGGTCTACATCCCGGATCTGGTCGGCCCGGCTCCGTCATGGGTCTATTACAGCTTTGCTTTTGGCATGTGGATGTAAGAGCTTGGAGCCCACGGCGCCAAAAGCAATGCGCTGACAAGCCGCAGGTACTCGACCATGGACAATGTCGACGGCAAGCAGGCGCGTCGCACCGGCACGTCGAGCCCGCTAGGAGAGCTTTTCGAGTACGTGACTACAGCCCAACGCGCCATCCCACATGTCTGACTGTGACGTAGCCATGGAATCGACTCTTTAAACTGCACGCTGGCCAGTCTGCTGGAGACGGCTGCCGTGGGATACGGGTCCACCAAGATTGGCGCCTTTACTGCCCTGATCCCCGTCCTGCCCATGTTCTTCTCGACATGGGAGACGTACCACACGCACACGCTATATCTAGGATACTTCAACGGCCCTACCGAGGGTCTGATTCTTGCATGCACCTTTATCTGCATGTCCGGCTACTTTGGCCCGGAGATCTGGTCCACGCCGCTCGCAAACTACTTTCCATCCTACAAGGCCGAGATTGGCGACATTACCCTCAAGGAGCTCTGGGTCCCCATCATTCTCTTTACCTTCTTTGTCGCGCACCTCCCGGAATGCATCATTAATGTTGCGCGCGCCCGCCGAGCCCGGAACCAGCCTTTTCTCCCCCTGCTCAAGGAATGGACGCCCCTGGTCATCTTCGTTGTATGCACCATGGCCTGGCTGGGATCGCCCTACTCGAAGCTGCTCGAGAACAACCACCTTGTCCTTTACTGCCTCACCATGTCGCTCGTTTTTGGACGCATGACAACCAAGATCATCCTGGCCCATCTTACCCACCAGCCCTTCCCCTACTGGACCATTATGCTCGCGCCCATGATTGGCGGCGCCCTGATTGTCAACCACCCCTACTTCACCATTCCCGGCACCACATTTGGCCCCGTCTCGGCTACCTTTGAGCTCTGGTACCTCCGCGCCTACTTTGTCTTTGCCGCCATTGTCTACGGCAAATGGGCCCACCTCGTCATCACCAGCATCTGCAACTACCTTGGCATCAACTGCTTCACCATTCCCAACAAGCCCATTGAAAAGAACGGTCGCCCTAATGGTGTTGTAGACGGCAAGGGCCGTACTGACTAGTCAGCTGATGCTGAAGTTGCTGCAACAATCGGGCCTTTTTTCTTCTTCTTCTTCTTCTTCTTCTTCTTCTTCTTCTTCTTCTTGTTTTGTTTTTGGTTTTGTTTTTGGCCACGAAACGAATCACTACGAATGGACCGACGACGACCCATTATCCATACTTTTTTTTTAACTCGTACGAGTATGAGTACTCATATACGCCTAATTGTTTATTGCCACGGCCACTACACACACACACACACACACACACACAACCTTTTGCGTCTTGCGACTACTACTAGTACATATGCCATTTTTCAGCATCACCACCACCACCATGATATGGAAAGGGTCTGTGTACCCTGGTCTTCTTCTTCTTCTTCTTTTAGCTCTTCGTAATCCAACACAACACATGCTGTCGTGGCAAATGGATTTCCAACTCTCTCGGCTAGATTCGACTCACTCACTCACCCACTTACGATATCTATCCATGTCCTTTTTTGGATAGTCACGTTGTTTGCTTTTGGCTGGGGGGGGGGGTTTTTTTGCTTTTCGCAAAGCGTAGACCGTTGTAATCATCATACTCATCATTACCACCACCATTGTCACCAGACCTATCATCAGAACTATTATCATCAGAACCATCATCAGGAAGAAAGAAAAAAAAGAGCAGAGAACCGAGATGGAGAGAAGAAGAAAAAAAAAGGGGGGGGGAGTACAGAGTAGGACTTGTTCCTTTTTTCTACTTCCTCCTTCCTTTTTCTTTTTCCTCCTTTTCTGCATTCCTTTTCTTTTTTTTCTCTTTTCTTTCTCACACCTACTCGATTAACTCGATTAACTCGACTCACAGTCGCGGTTGGTGCCAGCTTCGTAGTTTCACAACCATATCTTTTATAATTAGAAGGGAAATTAATTTTGGTCTAATCTTTTACATTTATTTTTTAAGTTTTTCTAGCTCAAGTCTTGAAAGTATATAAGAGGTGCCTTGATTTGCTCTTGTTTGTTAATTGTTAATTGTTCTTTGTGATTGGTAGGTAGGTTGCTTGCTTGCTTGGTTTTTGCCGTGTTGCGAGTGCCATGCAGTGCCATGCTGTGTGTATCCAAACTATGTACTAACTAACTGACTGACTGACTAAAACTAAAACTAAAACTAAACTGCCCTTGTGTGTCTTCTTGACATGATAAACTAACTAACTCACTTTGTACATGCATACATGGAGAAATCTGCCCGCGTGTTGGGAGTGGAAGCATGTAGCATGTAGCATGTAGCATGTAGCATAGCATAGAACAAAAAAGAAAAGAAAGATGCATATTCCATGTCTGTTGCTTGAAAACAAGAAAAAAAATGATTGAAACTTGAGTCAGTAAGTAAGTAAGTAAGTAAGTAAGTAGGTAAGTAAGTAAGTAAGTAACTATATGCGTTTATCATGTCTACTTTCACGTCGCAGATTAGCACGCAAGAAACTTGTTTCAAGTAAGCAACGCGAAAAAAATCAAAATCAAAATCAAAGTAAAAATAACAATAAAAGGATAGCAGGATGAGAAAGAGAGATGGTGAGATTGCTGCTGCTGCTGCTGTGGTGGTGGTGGTGCAGGAAGATACGTGCGAGATATGTATGTAGAGTAGGATTTAGATTCAGTCTTGTCTCGTCTTGTCATGTTTTTCCGAGGAGGAGGAGGAGGAGGAGGAGGAGGAGGATAAAGAGGGCGGTGTTTGAGGACTATAGGTATCAGGTTGGGCAGAAGAGTATGTATGTGGAGATGTAACCAGCGTGGATGGTCTAGATGAATGTACATACGTACGTACGTATGTATGGATGTAGAAGGAGACGAGAATGTATAAAACGGAGAGAGATATGCAGGATATATATATATACGAAGGACCCCTCACCCCTACCCCCATTGCTTACATCCACTCACGCCCCGTGTCCAAAGGGTCATGTATCCGGTATTTCCAGCCTGCCGATCCATCGGTGGTACCGTGGACGTCGTGGAGCAGAATACGCCGGGCAATAATTGATATGTGCGGAGAACCTGGTCTCGTGGCAGTGCCAGGAACGGCATGGAGAAGGCGAGTCAAATTCCCATGGTCATATCCAGCATTGCATAGTTATAGCCGAAACACTGAGCAGCCGTGAAGACTGCTAGGCGGAAATACTTTCCACGGCTACTTTCCAGTCGCGGTATGCAGTGTAGAGCAAGACGACAAAGGCTTGGGCTTCGGGGTTGATGCCGTGCAAAGGCGTGGGCTGGCGCTCTTTCAGAGAATTCACTACCGGGGCGGCAATGCCTGTTTCCGGATCGACATGGCGTGCAACGGTGTGCATCTTTGCAGTCGCCCAGGCAGTGTGTTTTTCGCCAAAGATATTTGCGTTCAGAACAGCCATTCGAAAGGCCGCCGAGGCCATCAGTGCGGTACCAGCTACGTCTCCAAACCACGAGTCATCGTCGAGGTAGTTGCGCAAGAGACCCGAGGAATGACTGTCTGCCTGGATTGCTGCATCTAGGATGGCTTTTGTCATGTCGAGCAAAGAACCCTGCTCAGTCGCTGTCTCGGCAGCGAATTGGCTGCTTCGAAGTGTAGCAAGCACACGCGCCATTCCCGCCGCTGCCCACGCATTGCTGGTGCACCATGCACCATCGTCAGTCTTGGCATCAAAATGCTTTGCTGACGTCTCTTCATTGGCAATGTGTCGCCATAGACCGCTTGGCATAACTAGCACCTCGCAGTACAATTGGCATTGGCGGACGCTCTCCTTGGCCATGCCGATGTCACATGTGCTCACGCCATGATAGGCAAGTATGGGCGGAACCATGTATATGGAATCGGCCCATAGCGAGGGGTACGCGTCGCGATGAGATATGGCGCCATTGGGGAAACGCGGGGAGCGGGTGAGTAGAGAAAGAAGCTGCTGGGATAGAGCTCTGTGGTATGCAGCGCGGGCTTGCTCTGGCAGCGAAGGGCTGCGGGAGAAGAGGTGTGCGGCAACACAGAGAGATGTGGGGTCGGCCGAAGACCCTATATTTCTGTTGTTAATACTCTTACCTGGCTTGAGTGCGTGCATGCAAGCGAACGATATGTGGTGGTGGGATACTGGTATGGGTCCAACGCACCATTGCCATCACTCAGCCCTGCAGTATCGGTCCGGATGTGCAGTCTTACATATCGCAATGCTTCCACTTCTTCGATCGACACTCGCGGCACTTGACCATGCGGAAACGGGTCGTGATGGAAGACGCTGAGCTGTGGGTTGTGATATTCAAGTAGAGCCTCAAACACTGTGCTGTATTCCCAGCTGTGCGATGCACTTTGTTGGGCTTTGATCAGGGCTCTTTCAACGACGTCTTGCGATAGCATATCGAACTGCTGGTGATGCACATCTAGATGGCACTCTTCACTTGAAAAAAACCATTGGAGTATCGAGATTCCAGTGTATGACGTCCTGCTGGCGTATCAGCTTTCGCTTGCTGCCTCGGCGGGCGGCTGAGTGAGGGGTCAGACGGGCGGCGCTTCTTTTAAGCACTTTGGCCGAGGCTTTACCTGATGTATTGTAGCCCGAGCCCGGGGGGTTTGTGCTTGGGTAACTAGTAGATTTGCGAGTTGGCTGCCCCTTTTGTTTGCCTCCGAAGAGCGAGCGTAGGTGTGGATATGAATAATGCGACTGGATGAATGGACGTCGCAAGTCTTGCGCCAAGGTAGCCAGTGTTCCCATTGCTGTCGACAAGACGCAAGGAGACTGCACACGATTGCTCAGCGGAATGATATGTAATACACAGCCGCACTAGAAAGTCACTAGAATGCCGGATGGAAGAAGGCGGCTCGGGAAAGGATGTTGCGCGGAAAGGCTAGCCCAAGGCGACTGGCATGCAGACGACATGCCGTGAAGCAGTTTTCCTTTATCGCACCTGCAAATGGAACTGTGCGGAAGCTCGTATGGCTCCAAGCATTTATTTGTAGGAGTTTGTAGGGTCACGCATCTTTCCTGGTATAGTCGCCACGGTGTAGATCTGACAATCAACAGGCATCCCATCCCGGCCCTGGGACTGCTGACGACTTTGCAGTGTCAGGGTGACGTTGACCAAGCGACGTGTGAATTTGATTGCTTGCTTCCAGGTACTATGCAGGCTTCCATGTGTCCTTCTCCACCAAGGCGATCAGGTGGCATGCTGATCGTCAGATTACGGCTGTAGCGGGGTCTTGGATACGCCCCTGCTTCTGTGCGAGTTGAGGAACACGGTGCAATATTCAGTTGAAAGTCGCAGGATATCGTGTTGAACAGTGGGGGCAGGCTTGCCTGGGAGCTAGGGCGTAGGGGATGGTGTTAGTACTGTATGTGTACTAGATTCAAGACGGGCCATGAGGCTAGGATAGGGTAGCAGTAGTGTCGACGGGGGTGTTGGCGTCCCCACCAAGACGCGCAACGAACATGTTCCAAGCTGGGCCCAAGCGTTGGAGTAGCTTTGCGGGAGTATTTTTTACGTGTGCAGAACGCGGCGGTGTGAGGGCTGAAGATAACAGCACGTCTTGCTGTGGGATGAGCTGATTAGAAGGAAGGCCTAGTTGCAGTGTAAGCGAAGGAGAAGGAGAAAATTTTGCAAGCCGTCGTGGAGGCGCTATATGACGTGCAGTGTGCCTGATGTTGAAGGCGCCATGTTGGTGCTGCATATGCCGCCCTTGCAGTAGCAGTGCCAGTTGCGGACAGATGGGCGGCCCCGCGATCCCCAGACGAGGCCGAGACGGTTGATGCCCTCGACTCCAGAGTGAGAGTGAGAGTCCCGGTGTGGTGGTGTAGGAGTGCGAATGCGAGGGAGCGTGTGCAAACCACGGGCGGGCTAAGCCTTGTAGCGCGGCTTGGCGTGCCTTCTAGAAGGCTTGTCGCGGGCTCTGGGCATGGCCAAAGACTCCACCACGCACGGCTTTCTTCGGCTCAGAAAAGCCTACACCCTCGCCCACCACCATCTGCATAGTGTCACTGCCAGAGCCGAGAAAATGCGACGCGCGCGGCCTGGCGGCGCTCCCAGGCGAGTCGTGCACACCACGCCAATTCCCCCGCCTTTTCACCCGCGAGTTGGCCACGGCACACGCATCATTGGTTCCCCAGAGTTGCCCAACCATGGCCTAGCCAAGGGCCTGCGCCGCCTACGCTGCATGATCGTCCCAGACTACACACAGTACTGACCCTCCACCCGCCCCGGACCATTCACCATGTGTGAAATCTCTGCCTCCACGCCCGCTGCTGGTATATAACAGTCAGTCGTGTCCGCCTCGACGTTGCTCAAGCTTGGTTTCTCCAGAGACAGCACTCCACCATGCCCAACCACCACATGGCCGACGAGAAGCCTGCGGATGCCCCCTATGGCTACGAGGAGAACAACATCGGCTTCGAGGAGCCCTTTGTCCATGGCGCTGCCACTGTTGGCGGCGAGACGGGCCGTGGAGGCGACACCCACCGTGGACTGAAGAGTAGACACATCCAGTTTCTGTAAGTCTGCGTCGACTCGACACTCTGTGCGTGCTGACAGCCATGCAGTGCCCTTGGTGGTGCCATTGGTACTGGTCTCTTCATTGGTTCTGGATCCATCCTCGCCCTCGTGGGCCCAGCGCCGCTCTTCATGGCATACCTCAGCATGATGATCGTCGTGTACAATGTCATGAACAACCTGGCTGAAATCGTCACGTACCTACCCATGCGTGGCATCACCATCCCCTACTTTGTCAAGCGATTTGTAGACCCCAGCTTAGCCTTTGCCACCGGATGGAACTACTGGTATGCCTACGCCATCCTGGTTGCTGCCGAAGCCACGGCCGGAGCCATTCTCGTTGATTACTGGCATACTGGTGTCCACAATGCTGTCTGGATCACCATTTTCCTAGTCGTCGTTCTTTTCCTCAACATTGTCGCCGTCGAGCTATTTGGAGAAGCCGAGTTCTGGTTTGCTTCGATTAAGTTCATCACCATTATGGGCCTGATTATCCTAGGTTTTGTCATCATGCTCGGTGGCAGTCCAAATGACCAAGGCCGCCTTGGATTTAGGTACTGGAACAACCCTGGCGCCTTTAAACCATACATTGTAGATGGAGACGCCGGAAAATTCCTTGCCTACTGGACTGCCTTTGTCCGCGCTGGTTTCGCCTTCATCACTTCGCCCGAGCTGATTGCCCTTGCTGCTGGTGAGACTATTGCACCTCGCCGAAACATTCCCAAGGCTGCCGGCCGCTTTGTCTACCGTCTGGCCATCTTCTACGGTCTTGGGTCTTTCATCATTGGCGTCGTTGTCCCCTCTAATGACGACCGTCTCCTCAGTGGCAAATCCAATGCCTCCGCGTCTCCCTTTGTCATCGGTATTCAGAGGGCAGGAATCCAGGGATTGAACCACGTTGTCAATGCCGCCGTTTTGACCTCTGCTTGGTCCGCTGGAAACGCTTTCCTCTTCTCCGGTTCCCGTATCTTGTACGGCATGGCGCTTAACGGCGAGGCTCCCAAGATCTTTGGCAGGACTAGCAAGAAGGGTGTGCCGTACGTGGCTGTCCTCGCGACTTGGACCATTGGTCTCCTGGCCTACCTCAACGTTTCCAACACGGGTGCCCAAGTCTTCCTATGGTTCTCCAACATCTCCACCATCTCCGGTTTCATCGCCTGGATCGTCGTCATGATCACCTACCTCCGCTTCCGCAAAGCCATGATCTTCAACAACATCCTCGACACTCTTCCCTACCGCGCCCCCTTCCAGCCTTACCTCACCTACTTTATCCTCACCATCGTCACGCTTCTCACCCTCACAAACGGCTTTCAGGTCTTTGTCTCCAAGAACTGGAACGTCTCCGACTTTTTGGCCGCCTACATCACCATTCCCATCTTCCTCGTCCTCTACTTTGGCCACAAGATCGTCACAAGGACCGCCTTTGCTATCCCAGTTGGTAGCATCGACGTTACGACGGGTGTACGAGAGATGAACGAAATGTGCAAGGACGACTTTACCAATGCACCTGTGCCAAGGAACCTTTTACAGAGGGTTTGGTACTGGATTGCGTAGTTTGTAAATGAGAGTTTTAGTGTTTCGTCTAGCGTCTATGTTGTTATGATAACCATGTATATACGAGATAATGAAGGATTATGATATTTGTTTCACTTTCGCTGCGTAAATCACGTGATCCAGCACGATGCACAAAATGCAAGATTACATAAAATAGACTTGCTACCCTTTATTCAAATCTCCACATGCAGTCCCTTTTTTATCTATTGAAATCGATATCTCATATAATACAGCCCCGTCTGAATCAATTTGCCAAACACCCTCAGACACTGTGTACCATCAACAGTCCCGTATCCATATCCATCTTCCTTACCTACACCAAAGAGCACAGTGAGCATCATACCTACATCTGGAGTGTTTTTGATGGCTATGCCTATCAAGATGGAGCGGGGGACGACGGTTTGGGCGTTTTCCACTTTTTCAGAGAGCTTGATTTTGGGGGGTGAGGAGTTGGGTTTGGGTCGGTTTGGGGAGAGGGTTTTGCGCGTTGGGGATATATGTGGATGCGGTCATAGCCTCCGGTTTACTGTGTTAGTAAGGTATACTTTGTCTGCGCTTATTCAGGATGACGCGCCAGTTTTGAGGCACATAACTTGTGGGTTGGTAGAGCATAAGGAGTCCTTGAATGAGGCCGCCTGTACGAAAGGCGCTCAAGTCTAGAAAAGCATATAAGCCTAGGTTCAATACGCAAAATTTCTGGGCTAGGGTCTGCACAAGAATACTATAATTACTCACTAACATCTTATGAAGAATGTCTACTAACCAACCACTAGCCATTCAAGTTATGAAACATATTGTTATCGACCAGCGTCAGATTGGTACCTCAGTAAGCGTGAATAGCCATATTTTAGATCTTGTAGATATCCTTCTTCTCGTAGTGCAAACTCTAATCTCGCCCAATCGCTCTTCTCTAAGCTCTAAACCCTTCCTGCAAGGTCTTTGTACCTACTGTAGGCTTAGGTATAGCCTGAGACTTTTACACACAATATAGATCCAAATTTAGTTGTGCACATCTTTTCGGGTAACAATTAAGAATTTCAGTTCCATGATAGCCATCGCAAGCAAGCTGTATATAGGTAAGTATGAAGAAGTAGCAGAATTTGAGACGTTTCTGCATACTTGCTTGTATCCGTCACGACTACAGGTCTAAAAATATAGTGTATTAGTAAGGGTGATGATAGATACAAGGCTTAAAATTAGTAGTCACGTACTGGATATGCTACATCTCCTCCTTCGAGACACTGCCCGCTAACAGTCAATGCAGAAAGTGTAGTAACTAGAAGATAGGTAAGTAGGCAGTGCATGGTAGTTCTAATATAGTTATGCAAAGTAGTATGGATACAATAGACGCTCAAAATCCTAGGCGCGGGAAGTTTGGTATAAGAGGGGAGATGTCATCAGGCTTATAGCACCCTTAAATATCCATTCTGTAAGCTTATGTTATATGCAAGCGCAATGTAGCAGTAAAGCTTATATCGGTCTAGTTCACACAGGCTTTCTACATCCGTGCGATAGCAGCTTTGCCGAAACTTCACAACAGAGCTCGTATTTGGTGGGAAGTACGGAGGTGCCTTTCAAAAGTTCTGTCTGACGCTAATCTCAGCCCTTCAGCGCAATTCTTCTTAGCGCAACTCCTACCTTTAAGCTAAGCTATTAATTAGTTGTAGTTATCTATCTACTTAGTACTATAGCTTCTAATACTAATTCTTACACCAATGTCTTAATTATAACGTTAAAGTTACCTCTTATTAGCAAGTTAACGTTATAGATCTTAGAGCTAACTAGTGTTAATCCTTATATAGTTAATTATATCTATAGTAGAGCTATTACTGCTAGCTTTAAGCTAAACATTCTCCCTCTTAAGATCCTTTTACAGCACGTTTAAGATACCCCTCGCTCTAGCAGGCCTACTAAGTAGATAGAGGAGGTAAAGGAGCAGATATTTTAACAAGTACGACGCGATAGATATAGATAAGAGAAGAGCTGCGCTAAGCTTACTAGTGCGCTTAGTCTCTAAGGAGTCGAAATCTCTGCCTCTACTATCTAGAGGGTATTAAGAGAAGCAAGATACAAGAAGACTAAGCTAATAAGGAAGCTTAGGTTAACACAGGAGATAAGGAGTGCTCGTCTTAGATAGGTAATTAACTACAAGGACTAGACGTTAGAGGACTAGAAGAATGTCATCTAGATAGACAAGACGTCTGTAGTAATTAACCACTAACGTAGGGGCTATAGGATCTAGAGAAAAGCAGACAAGAGAGTAGTTAAGAGCTATATCCGTGAGAGGTGGAAGGGATACTCTAAGTTCATGTTCTAGGGCTGCTTTTTGTATAACAAGAAAGGTCTATGCTATATCTACTAGCTAGAGACAAAGGCAGAAAAAGAGGATGCTGCTTAGAAGATTAAGCAGCTAAACGCTAAGCTTGAACCTCTACAGAGAGAGGAGTGGGAGCTGTTAGAGTCTATGAGGAGGACAGGGCTGCGCAACAAGCCTAGCAGAAAACCTTAATAGAGATGGACAGAGAATACAGGCAAGCTAGTGCGTAAGCCTAGAGGTGGTATAGACTAGTGGAGATATTAGAACTATATTCTAATACTAACGTGGTTCACAAGTGAGTCGCTAACCCAAGCGAGTCGCTAACGCCCCACCACTACATCTACATCAACACGTTATCACAGTTTTTTATCACAGTCAATAAACTATTGCGATACATCAAATTAATTGTCAGAATCGCTACTATCACTTGCACTATCTATCTTAACTACGCAGGTACGAGCGTTGTGTCCAGTCTGCTTGCAACGCCCGCACCGCCGCTCTCCTCACACCCTCTTCGACGCACTCTCACCATCACCACGACTGCTACCCGCCTGTTCAGCTAATACTTCTTGTACTTCGCCTACAGTAAGAGTCTCTTCTGTCCGTACGTATCGCCGCTTGCGGCTTTTACGCTTATTTGACTCGTTAAGAGCCGCTCGAAGCGTACCCATTTCCTCCATCATAAGCGTCATTTTATGTGCTATTTGCTAGGCCCCCTTACTTAGCTACGCGATCTGCTTAGTGAGTGAATTGGCAGAAGACCCACGGCGTTTTCTCACGCTCTCTTGAATAAGACCAATTTAAGACTCAACTTCGCGCGCGTTGCGTGGTGTCTGCGCCTGCCAGGCGGCTACCTGTTGCGGTGATTGTACAGGTGTCTGCACCACCACATCAAGCTTAGATAGCACAGCCTGTGGGTCGTGTGGGACTAGACCAGCGCCTCTAAAGCCAGCTTGGATATTCTCCTTCGTGATAGACTGCTCAAAAGCAGTCTTAAAGGCTGGTAGGAAGGTCTCTTTGCTGATATAGTGGGTGCGGTTGCGTGCCAAGCCTGAAATAGCGTCGCCATACTTGCGCTTCAACGGCGAGAAGCAGGCGACGTCAAGGGGCTGCAACAGGTGAGACGAGTGCGCAGGCATGCAGAGAAGCACAATATTCTTCTCCTTGCAAAGATCT